TAACTACCTCAAACATTGTAATGGGTTGAATTGCGCCCCCCACCCCCTCAGTTAATATGTTGACCTTATTTTGAAGTCAACAAAAGGGTTTTTACAGACGTGGTTAGTTAAAATGATGCCAGACTGGAGTCGGGGCTCTAATCCAATATGCCTGATTAGGGAATTTGGACACTGACGTAGACACAGGGAGAGAATATCATATGAAGGTGAAGGTAGGGACCTGGTGATGCAGAAGCCAAGAAATGCCTAAGATTGCCAGTAAGCCACCAGAAGCTGGGCAGAAGCACAGAACTGATTCTCCCTCGTGGGTCTCAGGAGGAACCAGCCTTGCTGACTCTGGGTCTGGAATTCTAGTGGTCACAGCTGTGAGACAGTGAATTTCTGTTCTTTAAAACACGCAGTCTGCAGTGCCTTGTTATGGCCACCCCTCCCCCATCTTCCCTGGAATCTGTGCAGTTCTGGGCGGATGATCACAGGGATAAACGTGTGCCCATGGTGAGGAAGCTGCCAGATGGCATCAAATCTTAACCCAGTTTTAAAGTGAAAATTGTCATTTCTTCAAAAAGTTTTGTGCAAGTCAATTTATTGGATTTTTTAGGTCCAAGGAAAAGGAGATAATTTATGATAGAAGGACTCTCTTACTACCTTTGAGACTAGATAGGTTGTCTCTTCCACCTCCTTTGAGACCCTGCTACCCAAGAATATGTCTTCACTTGTTCCACAGTTGCCAGGGAATTAATGCTCAGTTATTTTTCTACTGAAATCTGACTTAACCTAAATGTATTAGGATTGGCCCTTAATTATTCTGATCTAATCTTTTGCAGTGTCATCATTACTGAAAGCTGATATTAGAATCTTAAAAGTGACGTATCTCATGCAGCAATCTTTAATGCTTTATACTAACAATAATATTGGATGCGTTATGTAGTAATAATGAAAATTACATTTGAGAAATCGTTGTAGTAATGGGACATTCTGAGATGCAAGAATAGAAGAAGCACACTGGAAGAGCAGGACATGTTTTATTCACAGCCTTTTGGCGGCCTGTGCTCTGGGGTCGGAACAGGGGGTGGAGCTTACGTGCTCCCTAGGGGCAAACCCCGCCCGCGCTGCGCTTCGTGCTTTAGATCCAGCCAGACAATTCTGATTGAAGTGGGGGATTTTCAGTCACTGGGAGCGAAAGAGGGTGGGGGTGCTGTGATTGAAAGTACAGTACTTTTTGCTCTTTAGAATAGATTGGCATTTTATAAATGAAAATTTGGTTTCCAAAGAAAACATATATTTGCTCTCGTTTAGCCTCATAATTGGGCTGTCTTCAAGTTGCCCACAAGTTCTGAGTGAGTTTATTTAAAAAACATGTTTGGATAAAATACATGAATTATATTCCTTATACTTCACTAATATAGCGTTAGGTCAGTTGAAAGCTTTAAAGCGATTACCTTCACTCTGCCCTTTTAATAGTTTGATGTATTCTTCACATTCTATTTAGGCAAACTCACAGAAAACCATGACGAAAAGAAATCTGTTAGAAGCTAGGAGGTTGCTGGCTATGTGCACTGATACAACAAATGCTGATTTTGAGTTCTGGATATTTTCTGTTCCAATTAGATAATTTTGTAGAGTTAGGATTAAATATTTCTTTTGGCAGCCTAATGGCTCTTAATCCAGAAGTATTCCACTTAAAACTGCCAAGATTAAACAAAGCCATGGAAGTGCCAGGGCAGCACTGATGGAAAAAGGAGTGAATTGATTTCCTTTGTCTGATTCATAAGAATTATTTTGGCCCAGTGTATGTGGAACCTGACTTTGTTCAGTTTCTTTCATGAAGTAAGGCTTTTCTTTCTCACTTTTCTCTTTGATTCTGGAACTGTTGTGTGGACAAGCTAGTTTACAAATATCTAGTCTTTTCTAAGGCTGCTCAGTATTTGGGGTGGGGGTGGGGGTGGGGGTTATGATCATTACTTTTTCCTTGGTAGACCAGAAGGTACTATTTAGGCAAGAGTGTGCAGTCACCTCCCACCAGGCCTCCAGTCATCGGGGAAGGCCCATTTTCTTGTAGCGATTATACGTACGTTCTTTGTACTTTCCCTTCCAATCAACTCTGAAGTCACATAAGGCATGTTTCCCTGGCACCAAGTGCCTCACGTTTCTGCTTTAGAGTATGAGAAACTTATCAAACAGATGTGCAGGAGGGAGAGGAGGGGCTGGGCTTGGTGCTCATCCATCCCCACCTCTTGGGACTACAGCCTTAGCTCCGTGGCAGTGATTCCCTCCATTCCAGTTATGCCCATTTGTGTGTGAGTGCTGTCAGCTTTCCTCTGTGCGGTAAAATTAGCCCCCTTGGAAAGTGCCTGCAAATGTAAAGTGGTTATCTTGATGACAATACTTTGTTCACTGGCCCATATTCATTCACTCTTCAATAGCACCTTATTTTCTAAACTCCATACTTTGGGGGACCCTGAGTTTATCCATTTTTCTTCTTTGTTCTCTTGGAGAGGCAGCATGGTGTAGTGGTTAGGAATACAGGCTTTGTAGGCAAACTGTTCAGACTTCACCCTGCTGTCCTGCCTGTGTGACTGGGGATGGGTTCCTCACAGAGTCTGGTTTCCTACTCTTTAATTCGGGAGACTAACAGAATCCCCCTCACAGCATTTGAGAGGATTAAATGGGTATTGCAAGCAGAAGCACTTAGCATGGTGTCAGGCATGTGTAAGTACTTGGTAAGGATTAGTTTCATGGCTTTCTAACGGTGTTTAAAGGGTCTGTTTTTCTAATGCATTTTGTGCAAAGCCAGCAAAAAGGAGCTGATTCTCATAACTTGATTAATTGCCGAATATTTCTCCCCCATCGTATTCTTCCTTTATACTATCTCACCTGGGATAGGAACTTGTATTCATTAAATGAGCAAAGGATAGTGTTGCTTTTTCTAAAATTCAGAAAGGAAAAAACAAAATTTTATAGATTTTTAAAATAATAATACGGAATAATAGTAAGTTTTTATAAGTTCAGTATTCATTGGCTTCCAGTACTAACGAAATTGGAGAAGGATGAGGCTTGGAAGGTGGTCTCTGTAGGCAGTGGCCCCCTGCCAGTCCCTCCCTATAGCCACCCTTCTGCCAGGGCTTGGCTGGATTCCTTGGAGCAGCTCAAAGCTTGTGGGGAGAGACTGTGGGCACAGAGCTCTGTGATACTTACACTCCAGCTTCTTCTTCCTAGGTATCCATTCCCACTGGGCAGGGAGCAAGAGGGTCTAGTATGATTTATGCCTGGCATTGATTTGCATGTTTAGATTTAATATGAAACGATGTTGGAAATTCATGTCATAGACAGCCACTGGAAATGACCTTCAATTCTAAAATTTAAAAAGTTCTGTTTCTTTGGGAGGTGGTTAGCTTGTTAGAATGTCAGGCTCCTCAGATCAAGATGGTATCTTTAACAGTGATTTGTCAAGTCTGCTAATCTCATTTCCTTGCTGTGTAACAGATTGACGTTCTCAAGGCAGACCTGGAAAGCGCAGAATGGAAAGTTTTGGAAAATCTTATTCTGGAAGACGTCCTTGAGCAGATCGGACAGCTCATCTTTGAGATCCATCTCCACTGGCCTGGGTTCGAGGTCAGCGGCAGCGACAGCAGCGTTGTGCGGTTCTGGTACAGCCTCCTCAAAGAGTTAGAACTAAAGGATTTCAGGCTTTTTCATAGTTACAAAGACTTATCTAAACCTCAGCTATTCCTGAAGAAAGACATTTTCAATGCAAGTAGCTGTTATACTCTGAGTTGGGTGAACACAAGATGGAAATAGGATGCAGGACCTCATCAAGAACATGAATGGAGCATGTCCATGATTCTAATGGGGAATTTACTCATCCAGCCCCCCTCCAG